CTTGCAGTCCTGCCCGCCGGAACCGCTCGAACCGGTCGCGCCAAACGAGCGCGCGTTAGCGCGACGGTCCTTTAGCCCTCGGATCGTGTCCTGGATGCTTGGATTCCGCCTGTCGCCAGCGGCCGCCCTCTCGAGCTCAGCAGGGTCGTCGGCGAAGCCGCCACCAATCCCCACCCTCGGTGGGAGGTCGCGTTCTTCGTCGCGGCCCCTGACGTGGCCGCGACTTCCGTTGAAGCCCAGCGGATCGTAGGGATCGGTTAGGGGGCCACACGCGAATCCCCCTCAGAAATCGTGGGGGGTAGGGCTAGGGTTCGCGTGTGGCCCCCTATCGGTGCCGTCCTCCTCCTCGGCGTCGTCGTCGCACTCGTCATCCGTCCTTTTTCTCGGGGGGGCGCCCTGGGCGGCGGCCGCGGGAGCGCCTTCCTCGCAGGGAGGCGGCATGGGGCCACCCGCGGTAAGTCACGAGCCTCTTGGGGCGTAACTCCGCGCCAAAGGTCGACGTGGATGATTTCCGGCCTGATGCTGGCGGCGGTGGTAGGCATCCTGGCATGACAAGTCGCCGCCGACCCCTGGATGCAAACGGGCGTTTCCTGCTTGATCTTCTGTTCGATGTAGCACGTGTAATACTCGTCGGAGGAGCCAGAGTGGGTGACCTCCACCATCTTGCCTTCAAAATTCGAGAGCCATTCCTCGGTCTTCGAATCGCGAGGATCGAACAAGTCTTACTCATTGCAAGGTGTGGATGTAAGGTGAGAGGTCATAGCTGGTCGGTGGACTTGCCCTCAGGGCGCGTCGCGAGCTCTCCACAAGAGAGCCCTACACCTACTCAGTAATCAGTAATAGTGAAAGAAAATGAAGGCACAGCAGCAGGCTCCCCACAAGGGGCTGATTGGACATCACCGGCTCTGGGCCTTCTTGGCTACGAATGCTCTGCCGCACTGCGACAAAACATTGGTTCGCGTGGCAACCATGATCATCGACCTCTCCTGGGGCACGAACCCTCCCCAGGATACCCCAGGAGGCTCCAGGAAACCTCAAGAGGCCCCAGGAGGCTCATGCGCAGACACGCACTAATACGACTGAGATTCATTCACACTCCAACTCATTCACTGTTAGAGTCGCTCCCAGACCGTCAATATTTCAGCGCGCTTATGCTCGAAAAACCCTTGCCCCTAGACATTCACGGCGGACAGGTCCATGCTTGTAGGTGCTCACATGGGTAACTCCACGCAATGAATCATTACTCTGACCGCACCGACTCCTTCCTCATACCTCCTCCCCTCCTCCTTCTCTTCCCCATCGCACTCAGAATATGATGATGTTGATGATGGGTATGCCGCTGATGGATGGTGGTGATGATGATGGTAGTGATGATGCGGATGATGATGCTGCTGCTGATGACGAGGATGCTGATGCTGATGCAGATGATGGTGCTAATGCTGATGCAATTTCTGATGCTGGTGATGATGATGATGCTGATGCTCATGATGATCATGTTGATGTTGTTGATGATGATGCAGCTGATGATGATGCTGATGCTGATGCTGATGCTGATGCTGATGCTGATGCTGATAATGATGATGATGATGATGATGATGATGATGATGATGATGATGATGATGATGATGATGATGATGATGATGATGATGATGACGACGACGACGACGAGGAGGAGGAGGAGGAGGAGGAGGATGGCGGAGCAGATTTGGAGGATGTCTTGAGCGAGGCCCTAGATTTCAGCACCCCCGACAAGGGGTATTGCAATCCTCCGTTCGCGACAAAATGGCGGGGATGCCTCGAACGGTTTGCCTGTTTACCAGCTTAACATCCTCCGCTTTCAGAGCAGGTTTGGAGATTGTCTCGAGCGAGGCGCTCATGTTCGCCAGATCTTGAGGATGTCTCGAGCGGTTTCCCTATTGTGCTGGCCAGACTCTTGGGCACGGATCCTCGTCAGGATGCCACAGTAGACTCCAGCAGGCTCCAGGAGGCCCCAGGAGGCCGCAGGAGGCACCATGAGGCTCCAGGAGGCCCCAGGAGGCCCCAAGAGGGTCCAGGAGGCTCCAGGAGGCTTCATGCCACAGGAGGCCACAGGATGCCAGAGGAGGCCACAGGAAGCGCCAGGACGGGTCGGGGGGGGGGGGGAGCGCGAGGGGGGAAGGGGGTGGGGGGAGGGGGTAGGGGGGGGGGGGGCAAGCTAGGTGCGCTCGCGTCCTATCTAACGTGCTCCCCCTCCCTCCCATCCCCTAGAATTTCGTAGAACCCCACTGTCTGCGAACAGTCGGATGTCGAAGATGATCACGATCCCGAAAGAAACGCGAAGCATATCATAGCATGGCATGGCATAACATAGCATGGCGTTGAGGATTGAAGCGTACCGTGGCATAGCATGGCGTGGCACTGCGCAGTCATAGCACTGCGTGCCATAGATCATAGCATCGCAGCTGCAGGCGTGGCGTCGCGCAGCGGAACACAGCGCGGCATTGCATTGCATTGCATGCCATAGCATGATACTTAGGGAGCCCACAAAGGACGTACGCGCCCAGCTATGTACATGAACACGGCCCCTTGACCCTCGAGACCTGCCGCGCGATACGAACATTCGCGCAATGCGAACTCTCGAAACCAGCGTGGATTCATGTACATGTACGTCCTTCTTTCGCTCCTGAATACTGGGATGGAGGCCAGCGCTGCAGCGGGAGCACGAGTCGGAACGAGCGGAAGCGCGGACACGAGGCCGAAGCTGCAGCGGGAGCACGATCCGGAACGACTTAATGCTTTTCCCTGCTTGTGCACTTCAGCTTTGGCTTCGGCTTCGGCGGTGGTGCACCTCGGAGCGACCCCTGGCCAGCTCGCCCGAATCGGTGTCCTGGTTCCTCCTCCCTCTGATTGTATCCTCCGCCTCCTTCCTCCCCCACTTGACGTGGAGAGTAAACGAATCCCGAGGGTTATGTTGCTCCCATCGCACTTAAAGACGACATCCCAGAAATACTTTCGAGCACCCAGAAAAGTGTCGAAATAGTGTCGAAACAGTGTCTCCCAGGGCCCGACACGTGAAAACCCTCGAGTTTCGGGGTATTGTTCTGGCGCTCGAAATTCTTTCTGGTGGTCAAGACTAAAGAAGGCTGAAACATCATAACCCGACGGAAGCGGGTTGACGTGGAGAGCAAACGAATCCTGAGGGAAGCGGGACCTGGACCCTGGGGCAGCCTGCCCCAGGACGAGCTCCTCCTTCCGCGTGGCCTCCTGCTGGCCCCGGGGCCCGCTTCCCTCACGACCCGTTGGCCTGCGCGTGGGGCCCCAGCCAGCAGGGACCAACCTTGGAGCCGCCGACCTGCCCTCCGCCTCCCCCCCGCTCGCGACGACCCCGTCGCGCGCGCCCCGAGAAGGAGCAGGCACAAACGGGCTCGGTCGCAACCATCGGGTACGGAAAGAATGGGTACAATGCCCAACAGCAGTTCCCCGCTCGCGCCGACCCCGCCGCGCGCGCCTTCCGAGGATCGGGCCGGGCGAAAGGGGGGGATAGCAAACAGGGGGGGGGGAGAATCAGCTCACGTGGCTGATTTTCCCGGCGCCTCCCGGCGCCGGGACGCGGGAGGCGCCCATGTATCGAGGAATGGGCCTGGCGGCGGGGCCGAAACCAGCTGCATGCAGCAGATTTCGTACCCCCCCCTTTCCCAAACCCCCCCTTTCGCCCGACCCGAGAGGAGGGAGCAGGCACAGGCGGGCCCGGTCGCAACCATCGGCACGAAGGAGATGGGTACGGAAAGAATGGGTACAATGCCCAACAGCAGTTCCTGCTCATTTTGAGCAGGACTCGCTGTCCACGCCGCCGCGGCCTGTGTCCATTCGAGACAGAAGGCCGCCTGCCCAACAGCGGCCGCTGTTGGTTTGGGACAACATTTGTTGTTGGGCATTGTACCCATTTTGTCCGTATCCATTTCGGGCGTATCCATTTCGGGCGTCCACAGCAGCAAGGAAGGGCGAGGGGCGGCGCTTCACCGGCCAGGGGGGGGCGCCTGAAGGAGCCGGGAGAGCTGCAGTGGGGAAGCGGCCGCAGGACCCCCCCGCAGGAAACCCGGCCCTGGCAAGATCCACCCGATTCCTTGCCCAAGTTCTGGGCTTCTTTCTCGGCCAGGGGCCCCCAGCGGAGAGGCCAAAAGTGCTCTGGCCCGACGAGGTTCTTTCCAGGGCGTGGTGCGGAGAAAAAGGCGCGAGGTGCGGTGTTGGGGCGGGAAACCCCGAGGGTACCCTGGGCGCAGCACTTCTTCCTCGAGATCGGGGGGCGACGCCGCGCACCGCTGGGCACGAAGACACCCGGGGAGCCCCGGCGAAAACCATATACGCCTTCTCGGTGCGCGTCCCCGCTGCACCGCCGGAGGAAGAGGGAGGGGGATGAGGAAGCGCTGTCGCAGACGTGCCCTTCCCATTCTGCTCTGACACAGGCCAGGTCAGAGCAAGACCAAGACGGGAAGGGTACAGGGCAGTTTTTAACACATATGATTTTTGTTTAATGTTGGATTTGTAATGCATGATTAATGCATGAATGAATTTATGCACGAACTCCTCCTTGTTTTTAACACTAAATCCCAGAATGTTTGATACATGATCCGCACGCGGAGCATGTATAAAAAACGGCACTGTCCGCGCAGCGGCCCGCCATGGAAGACAGGAGCCCCCCGCTCGCTCGAGCCAATCCCGAGAGCGCGCGGCGCAGGAGTCCTGCGGGGGGATGCCTCTAGGCACGCTGCCCTGCACGTGGCCCCTTCTGCGGAGACCATGCGCGGTTCCTCGACCCTTCTCTCCCGCGACTCCTGCTCGTCTGCAGCTCCTCGTCGTCGTCCTCCTCCTCCTCGTCGTCCTCCTCCTCCTCCGTGCTCGTCTGCAGCTCCTCCTCGTCCTCCTCCTCCTCCGTGCTCGTCCTCCTCCTCCTCGTCCTCCCTGCTCGTCTGCAGCTCCTCGTCGTCGTCCTCCTCCTCCTCGCCAGAGGGCGGCCGGCCCACCTGGAGGCCCCGCAGCGGCGGCAGTGCGCGTTGCGCGCGAACTGCAGGTCCCCGCACCCGGGACACTCCCAGTCTCCTGCCCGCCCAGGGAGGAGGAGGAGGAGGGGGAGGAGGAGGAGGAGGAGGAGGAGGAGGAGGAGGAGGAGGAGGAGGAGGAGGAGGAGGAGGAGGGGAGGAGGAGCAGGTGGAGGAGGAGGAGCAAGAGGAGGCGGACCGGCCGAAGGGACAGGTCAGGGGGCCACGCGCGACCCCCCCCCCCCCTCCCCCTCGGACACCGTGGGGGCAGGGGCCCGGTGCGCACGTGGCCCCCTACCAGGTGGGGAGGCCGGGGGGAGGCGTGAGACGTGGCGGTGGCGGTGCTGGGTGTCGGGGTGGTGGGCAGCCGCCCGCTCGGGCACGCGCCTGCCAGTGCCTCCCCGCGCCTGCCGGGGCCTCCCCTCTCCCGCCCTCCCCGGGCTCCCCTCTCCCGCCCTCCCTGGGCTCCCCTCTCCCCTGCCCCCCTGTCAGGGGCCCCCTCGACGTCGGCCCCTTCGGATGATCACTCCCGTTCCCCAATCCCCCTTCGTCCGTCCTATCCCCGTCCTGCTTCCGCCGCATCCCCACCGCCCCTCTGTCACTGCCCTCCCTCCCTCCCTCCCCTCTTTCCCCCTCATCTCGCCCCCTCCACTCCCTCCCCTCCCTCCTTCCCTCCCTCCTTCCCTCCCATGGCCTCTCCGTGCACGGACGCTGAGGCCGTTTTCAACATAGCTAGCCTCCGATTAGTTATTTGACGTAGGCACCGCTCTGCGATAATCACTTGTGGGGCTTTCATGACCACAAGGCGAGGGACAACGAAAGACGTTGGCATCGACAACAAGCAAACCCTCGCGCGCCCCAAGCGAACACCATTGGGTGAGGGGTCTCGGGTGGACGCTGATTAAAGCTGAGCGCAACAAAGCACGTGCCCCAGAGAGTGCCCCTACAAATGCACACGACGGTGTTACCCCGTGCCGTTAAAGGTCGGGCACGGCCGAGAGGGGGGCGTCCAAGAGGGCGAGGCGCAAATCATGGCCGGCGGCATGTGCGCTGCCCAGGGGGGGGGGGGGGGCTGGCTACGCACTGAAGTAAGAAGAAGCGCCATGAAATCTGGGGAGATCGTGTGCCCCCCCCGATGGGCTTGTTTTCCACCACCACCACCATAAGTTGGAGGGGGAGGGGGTCCTCCTCCTCCTCCTCCTCCTCCTCCTGATCCTCCTCCTCCTGATCCTCCTCCTCCTCCTCCTCCTCCTCCTCCTCCTCCTCCTCCTCCTCCCCTCCAACTTCTGGTGGTGGTCGTGGAAAACAGGCCCGTCACCCCCTGCCACGATGTTCATCGCCCCCCTCTTGGCCGCCCTCGATCAGAGGACCGAGCCCTCCCCCACACATCGCGACCGAGACGCGGCCAGAGCGCGACGCAGCAGTGCCCGCGGGCCTGGGCCTGGCGGGCGGCGGCGCTCCTGCCCCTCTGGAGCGGAGGGAGCCGTCGGGCCCGCAGGCCGCCACGAGGAGGCGGCCGTCGGACCACACAACAGTCGGGGGGACGTAAGACCCGGGTACGGGGGACTCGGAAATCCCCGACGAGGTCGTCAAAAAAAGGACGGGGCCGAGCCTGCATTCTGACGAGGCCTCCCGCTGCAGACATCCCACGAAGCTCCTCCTCGTCAAAATCCGAGGCGCGGTCGTCAAAAAACGATGGCGAACCCGAGTCCCGGCAAACCCGGGTCTTACGCTCCCCCGAAAGAGGGGCTCGACCACAAACAAAAACCTTCCACCAGAAACCCAACCCTGAGGCCCCAGGGCGCCCAAGGATTTTCGGTGTGGGAGCGTCGCGCTTTCCCTAGCAAATCCATCGACACCCGAGAAACCCTGGAGGCAAGCAGGGTGCTTCTTGGCATGGGTCTCCACTGTACCCACAGCCATCTAGACCGACCACATCGATCCACCGGCTGTACATCTGAAAGCGAAGCCCGGCGCCACGACGACCGCATGACATGGTGTGCCTCCCCACTTCGCACTCGAGAGGGAGGAGGCATGAGAGATTAAGGCCAAGAGTTGGATGAGAAAAGGAAGCAGGAAGGCTGATGGAGGCCGCCCAAACGGGGTCCTATTAGGCGGTGTCGGAGGATCGCGCCGCATTGCCGGTGCATCGGCAACGTCAGGATGGAGAAGTGTGGCTCCGAATCAAGCCCCATCGCCGATGCATCAGCGATACGGCGCGATCCACCGACCCCATCCACTTCGACACTAATTTGGGCGGCCTGGAGCGTCAAAGGAGGAGGAGGAGGAGGACGAAGAGGACGGGCGCGAACGGGGCACCCGATCCGCCACCACTTGCCATCGGTCCAACGTCAATGTCCCGTGCATTGTTCCATGTCGTGCCTTATTCTTCGAAAATGATCCAAGATGCTCCTCAATGGTCTTCGCCGAGGGAAAAATGCACACGTCCGAGCGATGCTGAGATCCTGACCCTCCCTGCTCATTCTCCACCTGCCCTGCGTCCATCCTGGCCGCATGTCGTAGGGTCGAGACACTGGCGCGAGCGCGCGCGGGCAGAGGGGGCGGGGGGCGTGAGCATCTCACATGCAAACGAGCACAGCAACAGCGCAGATGAAAGATACGGCAGGCTCGCGTCGTGTCGACCCCGGCGTTGGTTCCTGACCCCGCGGGGATCGTTCAAACTGGAACGATCGGCCGCTTCAGAAACGTCGGATCGTTCAACGATGGGCCGATTCTGGGCCACGGGTGGCGTTCAAACGTCAACGCCCGCGCTGGGGGTCGCCGCAAGTCGACACGACGCGAGACTGCCGTAAGGAGGATGAGGGATGATCAGTGCAAACCCAAGACGCACTCACGACTGGAGCTTCTGTCTTTTCAAATCCATGTAAAACGTCATTTTGGGAAATGCCTCCATGGAAAGACAACTGTCTGAGAATCCTCAGTCACGCCAGAGCACGGTTCCTTGAACTTCAACACCCTGATTCAGCGTGACTGCTGCGTCCAGACAATCTTTAATCGTGCGCGGCCGCACTTCTTGGAGCTTCAAGCCCTGCCATTCCGTGGAACTGTTGCGAACTTGTGCGACAAATCCGCGCGCAACTAATGCGAAATCCACAGTTTGAAAACCGCCCGCTCTCCTGCCTTGAAACTGTCGCGAACTTTCATAACAACTGCGGGCGGCAATTTGGCGAGAGCCACATGGTGAAAACCACCCGCCCCCCAGCCTTGAAACTGTTGCAAGCTTTACGAACATATGCGCGCGGCGCCGATGCGAGAGCCACATTTTGAAAGCCACCCGTCCTCCATCCTTGACGCTGCTGAAAACTTTTAAGACGAATGCGCGCGGCGCTCAAGCGAGATCCAGATGTTGCAAAGGACCCGCCCTCCATCCTTGAAGCTGCTCCGATTGCCTCCTCCTCCCCGTCCTCGTCCTTACCCCCTGTCGTGCGGGTTGGCGCTACACCGCACGTGCGCATCTCCGCGCGCACCGCATAATGGTCTATTGAATCGGTCCATTTAGTTCTCGGACGGCGAATTTACCTGGAGCTTCCTGGATGCAAAAGGGAAGAGTTGGGGTGATGCGGGCGGACTCGGGAGGACTCGTAGATTCCAGCGTCGCTCCGTTGTCCACAAGGATTATTGTCCATTGTTTCCTGTGGAATCCACAAGCGTTCCATTTTGTCATAAGGATTTGTTGCTGTGGTGCACACAAGCGCCGTAGTGCACACAGGCACTGCAATGCACGTAGGCATTGTGGTGTACACGAGTGCTGTGTTGCACACGGCTGATGTGGTGTACGCAAGCGCTGTGGTGTGCACAAGAGCTGTTGTGCCCGCAGGCACGGTGGCACAACACTGACGCTGTGTGCACGCGGCTGCTGTGGTGTACATAGGCGGTGTGGTGTACACAGGCGCTGTGGTGCACGCAGGCACTGTGGTATACACAAGCGTTGTGGTGCAAATCGCACCTACATGCTGACGCTACCCGTCCTCTAGGCACTCCCATACGCCGCCGGCGCGAAACGTGACGTCATCGACCCCCTCCCCCCCCCCTGATGATTTCCGTCGTCGGCCCGGAATAAAAAACAGGCTTCAGCCGCGTCCGCGCGCACGACGACTATGAGCGACGAGCGACGAGCCACGGGCGACGACGACGACGACGACGACGAAAACGACGACGACGACTCCGGACCAGACTCCTATGCGGATTCCTACGCGGACACCTACGCGGATCCCAATGCGCACGGCGGCAGTGTCCGGAGCACACTGGGGGGGGGAGCGTTACGTCATAGGGGATAGGGGGGGGGGGGCCATGACGCCCGTCATGCCCCAAGCAATAAAGAAGTGGTCTCCTTCCATGAAGTCGTTGCAAACTTCAAGCTTCACATCGTGAGTAAGTACCAAGCGAAACGCCCAAACCGCTCTACCAACGCGTCTGGGGTGCGACATGGAGAAGTTTTTTATCAAGGAATTCGATGGATGAGATACATGGGGATGGGTGTCTACATACGTATAAGTATTTGTATATCGGTGCGTATGTGTGTGTATATATATATACATACACATGTGTGTATGTATGCATGCATGCATGCATGCATGTGTGTATGTATGCATGTATGTATGTGTGTATGTGTGTATGTATGTATGCATGCATGCATGCATGCATGCATGCATGCATGTATGTATGTATGTATGTATGTGTGTGTATGTGTGTGTATGTATGCATGTATGTATGTATGTATGTATGTGTGTATGTATGTATGTGTGTGTGTATGTATGTATGTATGTATGTATGAATGTATGTATGTAGGCAGGTAGGTAGGTAGGTAGGAAGGTAGGTAGGTATGTAGGTATGTAAGTATGTATGTCTGTATGCACGTATGTATGTATGTATGTATGTGTGTATGTATGTCTGTATGTCTGTATACATACACATATATATATGTATATATGTGTGCGTATATATATATATATATATATATATTTATGTATGTCTATTATAGATACATATATACATATATATATATATATATATATATATATATATATATATATCTAGATATATGTATTCGCCGGCCCAACGGGCCAGAGGCGTGCTAAGATCTCCGGTAACAAACGCAAATATTCTACTTCGCGCGGGCGCGTGGCGGCCATTCTGGGGGTCCCGGAGCGAACATTTCCCCGGGCAGTTCCCGGCAATTCCCCGTCAGAGATGCTGGATCTCTTGGGCGCGGGCCTGGGGGCCTCTGGAACCATCCAGGCTGGCCATCGCTCGGACGTCCATTCCCTGTGTTTTTTTCGGTTTTGTGCGTGGTTTTTTCGCCAAATGATCAAGGATGCTCCTCGATGGTGCTCGCCGAAGGAAAAATGCACACGTCCGAGCGATGCCAATGAGCGGCCCAATGAGTCGACAAATAGGTGGCAGGCCCTACGGCCAGAAGCCAACAGCGTCCCACCGCGGCCCAAGACGGCGTCACGATGGCCCTCGATGCCCCCCCGCACGCTCCTCGAGGATTCTAATGAGGCGTCCCAAGAGACACAAATCATCGATTTTCCGCCAGCTGTTGGAGGAGTTCAGCCTTCTCGCCGTTTCGGCTTACCGACGCTCCAGGAGGGCCCAAGAGGCCTCCAATACCGCCCCAACTCAGCCCAAGAGGCTCCCAAAGTGCCACCACGATGGCCCAAGACGGCTCCAAAACGGCCCAAGAGGGGGCCACACGGGTCCAAGAACGCCCCAAGACGGCTCCAAGAGGGGCTGGAAACACCCCCAAATCGCCCCAAGCCGCCCAAGATAGCCTCAAGACGGCCCAAGAGGCTTCCAAGACGGCCCAAGAGGCTTCCAAGAGGTCCCCGCGAGACAAATCGCTGATATGGTTCTTTGAAGTTTTCAGGCTTTTCGCCTTTTCTGGATTTCCGCCCCAAGAGGCCCCAAGAGGCCCCCAAGAGTACCCAGGAGGCCCCCGTGAGGTCCCACGAGGCCCCCAAGAGGCCCCAAAAAGAGGCTCCAAGAGGCCCCCAAACGGGCCCCAAGATGCCCAAAAAGGCAACGAACGTGCTGGCAAACGCCTGCGATGGCACAATACGGGCCAGCGGAGCGAGCGAGTGAACCACGCGAGCATGCCTGTCGGCTGCTCGGCCCCGTGCAGGGCATGGGTGTACAATTCGACTACCAGCCAGACAGCATATATGAAACGTGAACAGAATGTGGAATGAGGATAAATATTCATGTTTGGAGTACCGAAACGGTGCGGTGACACACCGTGCGGAGACCTCGAAATCCCCCAAGACCTCACCGCACGGTCCGTCACCGCACGGTTTTGGGAAACTGGAGGCCCCCGTCGCCCGAGACGTCCTCGGAGAGGGACCCGAGTCCCAAAACCGTGCGGTGACCCCGAATCCCCACCGACTCACAGCACGGTGTGGTCACCGCCCCGTTTAGGGGCCCCCGATCATGTTCCCGAGACAATGCTCGCATGTAAGGGTTCTTACTCAAATTCGAAACTAACTCGGTGGGTCTGAGGAGGTTTTGGCCACGTGGGCGCCCGGCACAAACAATCGAACGGGTCTGCCGAGGCTTCGCCACGTGGGCGCCCCTATGGCGCAATTCATGGCGCAACCAATTGAACGGGCGTTTTTTTATCGAGAGTGGCCAAGAGGGGGGTGTCCAAGAGGGGGGGGTGCAAATCATGACCGGCAGCATGTCGCGGCCCAGCGGGGGGGCCAGGGACGTAATGAAATAAGAAAGGACGCCATGGAATCAGAGGAAATATCATGGCCCCCGCCATGATATCCACCCCCCCTAGTCATCACCCCCCTCTTCGCCGCCCCCGATTAAAAGAGCCCTGAAAGGTGGCCAGAAGACATGCTTTTCCCTTGTCAGAACAACTCCTTCCCTTCCGGGAGGCTTACGACCTCCCCCGTCCCGGAGGTTTCTCGGGGCGGGCCGTGAATCGTTAGAGCGTCCAAGATGGCCTCAAGTGACTCCACAGGGCCGCCAGATGCTCCAAAATGGCCTCCAAGATGGCCCAAGATAACCGACAATGCTTCAAGGTAGCTTCCGACATACCCCCAAGAAGCCCAACGAGGGCCACAAGGCGGTTCCATGTGCTCTCGGAGCCCCCTCAGGACCTCCCCCTCCGGAGGCCCAAATCATTTTGACTTCTCGCCTTGTCGCTTCAGGTGCGTTCGAGGCCTCAAGATGGCACCAAGATGGCCCAAGAGAGGCCAAGAGGGACCCAAAAGGCCCCCCAGACGGCCCCAAGAGCACCCGAGAGCGGCCCGAGCGGGCCCCAAGATGTGACTTTGATGGCCCCAGGAGAGGAACATTGGACGACCCCCCCTGTTTGATCGATGGCTTCCAAGATGGTTCCAAGCTGCCCTCCAGGGCTCCCAAGGGCCTCCCCGGAAGGGCTCCAAGAGGGCCCCAAGAGGCTCCCGAGACTCTCCAAAAGAACTCCACGAGGACCCCAAGATCCCCCAAAAGAGCCCCAAGGACGCTCAAAGATGCGATGTTGAGGGCTCTGTCCTCGTCCTC